CGCTTAAGCACCATGAATCTGGGAAAGCTTCTGCCTACTTTTCTCCAACAGGTTAGTATACTTTGGGAAGCTAAGAGTCAGGCCTGCCTGTTACCTAGAACTGATCAGGAGGGAGGGAGAAGAGTAAGCAGCAGCTGGGCTGAAGGAGAAGTAAGGCAGACCTGCTCTCTTCCCCCAACCTTTCCAATGATACTATCAGCTGAGCCATTCATGCGACTAACAAGGTGATGCCAACTTCCCTCCCATTCAGCAAACAAACACAAAAGTCTCAAGGTGATGCTAAAGAAACAAAGAAATCTCTGTCTTTTGAAATGTGGGGGGAAACTGTATAGGTTTTTTTCCTGACTTTTTTTCCTCAATGTGTTCAGATGTATGTGTGTGTAATGGAAGTTGGGAATAAGGAGCAAATATGAAGATAATATAATAATCTCTTCCTTGCAATACTCAAGTTCCACTTTTTTCCTTTTGCCCTTTTTTGGTGTTGATTTTTCTACTCTAGTTCTCTAAGCTACGGATGAACCCTAAAAGTATCAAAATTATTTCCAAAAAATATTTGGGTGCCTACTACATGCAAGGCATTATGCTAGGTTTGAACAAGATGAGAAGATAGCTAAGATTTAGTTCTCCTTCAAGGTCTGCAGTATCATAGCAAAGGTAATTCATGATCATATTTGCCCAGAAATTTGCAAAAGCAGCTACATTTTACAAGAGAAAACATTTTAATTGTCTAGTGCTCACTGACAGCATCTAAATGTCACTGACATTTAACTCAAACCAAAAACATATTCTGAAATAACAATTAAATGAACACTTTTATGAGAAATAAGGATTTTGGGACAGTTTGCTCACTTGTGTGTCATAAGTTGTAAAAAGCAGAGTTACACCCATGCCATATGGGAACTAGAGGGCTCTAAAGTAATATAACATCATCTACAATACATCTGCTTCATTTAAATTCAAATTTAACATTTATAGTTTTAATAGTTGGCATTGTGGCTTTGTATGTCACATAAAAAGTTATATTTGAGAAAGATTTTGAATTTGGTAGGTAGCTGATTTACAGTTATAAAGTCTCTTCCAAATCTTAAAATATTATATTCTAGTAGGGCACAAATGTAGCCTTTAGGAATAAGAACTCCAGGGGGAAATATCTATAGCTCAACATTAGTTTTTAATGCTGTATTCCTACCATTTGGGATGATAAAGATGGCTATTATATTGGTTTCATAAAATCTATTTATCTGTTTATAGTGGTTGACTGGCAAGCTGTTATAATTTACTACCAAATTTCTGGAAGCACAACAAAGGAGGAAAAAAATCAACTAAAAACCATAAATAAATCTCAATCACGATTCCTTCCATGAAATGGGCACATCGTGGGTAACAATTAACATTACCATTATTTGCTCTTTTCTTTTTTATCAGATGCTTAACTATGTAACTAAAATAGGATCCAATCAATGTCAAATGACTAGAGAAATCGTGTAAGAAAGAGCCTCTAAGTTGCTAGGAGCCGCACAAAGGAAGGCAGTAATAACATACTATTTTCACTATTACTAGCCAGTCTCCTTGGTGATCCAGTGCAATTGCTTCACCTAAAGCACATTCGTGTGGCATAGGCATTTGCTTCCTCTCTGAACTTCCTGTTTTCCTGGATGTGAGGTTCTCTGAGGTGCGCTTTCAGGAAACAGTCGCTTACTCAGAGGTCTGCTAGGAAGAGTGATTTGGAGCGGGTAGGCTCCAACTGCGTGCTAAAATGATAGCCTTGCTCTAACCTTGGGCATGTCATTGACATAAAAGTCCTTAAGTTCAGTTCAATTCACTTTCACTAGCCTCTCATACAGCAGGAGGCATTCAGTCATTGCCAAAGTCAATATATGAACTCTGGTTGCTGAAGGCAGCTGGTTTCCCATAGAATCATGTGTCCCCATTTCCTATTTCAGTCAGTTCATGATTCAGTGGTAGAAAATGCCAAAGGGAGTTGGCAACAGTGGCTTTTTACACTTATAATAGATTTTCTTTTTATGTACTTTGGATTTTTCTCCGGTATTGTGCTCAGTGGTATTTTTACTGTGTAATCAGATTGGACAGCTCTACAACAAGGTGCTGATTGGCAAGAAAACCTCAAGGTAAATGGCTTCCTCTCTGCCTTCAGTCCCAGAGGCCACCGGGCTGCCAGTCTATTACCAGGAACACGGGGTCCTCAGAGGGAAGTGGGGCTTTCATCTGCATAAGAACTAAGTCTCCAGGGCAGCCCTGGAATTTGAACATTCCTTGAGCCTCCAGTGATAAGTTGAGATAAATCAGGCCTCTCTGGACAGTCAGGGTCCAAACATCCTATTTCTGCTCTGCTTTCTCCCCCACTCTCTCCTTGGCTGGTGGGAAAAAGAAAAAAATCCCTCCTTCTAAGGTAAAGAATTAAGAATGGGAGTTATTTGTTATTTAAACAGTTATTTTGCTGTTTGGTTAAATCTCTGGTCTTCAAGTTGCATGGTTCTCTAGTTTTCTTGTCTTTTGTTTGTTATCACTACTATGTCTTTTGGCTTCTCTTTCTCTGTGGGGTGAAGTTTGATCTTTACAAAGGAAGAGGAAGTAGGCTTTATTTTTTTCTAATTTTTGTTCATTAGTTTTATAACCTTGCAAATGTCACTCGACTTCCTGTACTGTATAGATTAATTTATAAAAAGGCACGTTGATATCTATTTCCTTTTATTTGCAGAACATTAACACTGTCAAATATTTTACATTCTTTTGATCTCAACAGAACTTTTTCTAATAACTATACTGTTCAATTGTGAATTTAATACTGGAATACACTATTCCTTTTCAAATACTTAATAGTTAAGTACAAAAATACTTAAACCATATACTGCTTGATTCCATGTATTTGTATTTTAAAAGAGATTTTGTGGATGGTAAAATATTTCTCTTGAGATTTCATATTCTAAATTTGATGTGAACAAAATATACTCCAATATTCATTCATATGAAACTAGTTTCAGCTTTTGAGGAAATTATATATTTTTAATTTCACAAGAAAAAAAATTTAGTTAATGGCTCCTTATTTTCAACATTATTTCTCAGTCCTCCCTTACTGTTCTTCGGAGGAGGAACAGAAAACACTCGAGGGCTTTTTGGATATTTGGGTATTAGTGTTAACAGGGAAATATTGCAGATTGTCTAACCCACTTCATAAAATAAACCTCTGAAATCTCAAGCTCCACCCCTACCACCCAACCTGACTTTGTCTGCTCTGTCATTGTAGAAAACAGGACAGACTTGTTCTATGAGAAGTGCCATCTCATTTATACTGTCAGTTGTGAGTTGGTCCTCAAAGAAAACCTCCATATAGACCTAAAACCATCCACATGTCCTTCTGCTTGCACTAAAGGTAAAAGTACTTGAAAACTGTAAAACCATCTTACCCTTTCACCCGACCAAATGTCTAGCAAATGAGGACAGGATTCAGGACAACAGAGAAATGAATCTCTTCACCTGAGGTCTTATGTATTGGAAAAGCATGAGGTCTCTGAATCTTGTCTCAGGTTCTTACAAATTTGGAGGCCTTGAATAAATCACTTCTCTGAACATTGGTTTGCTCATTTAAAAGAAATTGAGAGTAATATCTATTTCATAAAATTGTTATATGGATTAGATTGATGTGACATGGCTGGCTATAAAAATTCTCATCTTCAAGTCAACTATCTATATTATAAAAAGCCATTGGCCCTAACGCCATAACAACCAAGACCTACTCGGGTGGGCAGGGCTTCAAGCACGGTGAGGTGCACGTGGGTGGGTGGGGCCGTGAGATTTTGTGCGCTGGGCTTCTAGTAGATTATAATAGGTAATTCTGGTTCTACTATCAAAGCTAGAATGTTAGTCCATATTTGTCACAGAAAATTACTAAAACAATAGTATTTGTATGACATGCCATAGTTGACAAAGCATATTCATTTAAAAAATATTTTCACTTATACATATTCAGATAGTAAGGGTATTTTTGCTATTCAGATATTCTGGGGAAGTTTCGATTAAGAAACATTAAGCACCCGCGTGCCAGCGTCTTGGCAAACTGACATCCATTAATTATTTACCACATCTACATTGGACATATATACAAGATGTGCTAGTGCAGCAATTCTCAAACATCTAGGCTCAGGAGCCTTTTACATTCTTACAAATTATTGAGGACCCCAAAGAATTTTTGTATATGTGGAGTATATATATTGATACTTATTAGAAATTAAAACTGAGGAAGTTTAAAAATATTATTCATTAAAAATAACAAATCCATTATACATTAACATAAATAATACATTTTTTATGAAAATTAACCATATCTTGCAAAACAAAAAGAAATTAGTTTGAAGAGTGGTACTGTTTTGCATTTTTGCAAATCCCTTTAATGTTGGGCTTAAAATTAGCTGAAATTATTTATATGTTTCTGCATTTAATCTGTTGCACTTATCACACTTCATGTAGTCTCTGGAAAACTCTACTATATGCTCATGAGAGAATGAGAATCAAAAAGGTTTAAAAATAGTCTTAGTGTTGAAATAATTTTGACTTCACAGATCCCCTTGCTTCTCAGAGACCTCCTTCAAGGGTTTCCCATTCCACACATTATCCACTGTGCTGGTGCCTAGTACCCAGTTATGACTCAAGAAATACTTGCTGAATAAAATAATGAATACCAGACCCTGTGCTAGGTACTGGGGACCCACAGCTGAACAAGATAAGAGTGCCTGCTCTTAAGTAGCTTAGACTCCCATGAAAGAGACAAGTATGAAAAAAACTGTGCTACCATAGCAGTAAATACAAGATACTATGGGAGTGGGGTGGTAAGAGGGTATCTTGCCCAATCTTGGTGTTGGGTCCATCCCCAACAGGTCCAGGGGTTCCCATAGGTGTGGACGGAGTCGGCGAAGAATGAAGGACACAGAGACAGCGTTCAGTTGATCATCATAGCCAGGTTCTCCAGCCAGGCTCTCTCTCTCTTTTTTTTTTTTCCATAATAAAAATTTATTCTTACACAAATCTACAGTGTTTGAACAGAAAAAGAAAGCCCCACTGTCGCCTAGAAAGAGGACTTGAAGCAGCACGTGGGAAGCAGGGTGGCTCCGGATGTCAGGTGTGTGGTTAGTGGCTCGGCTCCATGTATGTGGAGATGTCCATTTCTTCAGGAAGCTCCGCCACATTGACTTCAAACCGACCCTGAACCTCATTGAGGATTTTGGCATCATTCTCATGAGACACAAAAGTGATAGCCAGGCCTTTGGTGCCAAAGCGACCGGCACGGGCCACCCGGTGGAGGTAGGTGTCCGAGTCCTCAGGCATGTCATAATTGAAGACGATGTTGACTCGCTCAATGTCCATCCCTCGGCCAAACAGATCAGTGGCCACCAGGATCCGCCGCTGAAAGTCCTTGAACTGCTGATAGCGTGATAGGCGCTCCTCCTGGGCCATGCCCCTGTGGATGGTGATGGCTGGGAAGTTCTGTTCCACGAGCAGCTGGGCCAGGGCCATGCAGCGCTGCACCGACCTCACGAAGATCACCACCTGGTTAAACTCTAGCACGTCCAGGAGGTCGAAGAGTTTACGGTTCTTTTCGCTGTCTTTGAGCTTGACATAGTACTGCTGCAGCCCATGCAGCGTGAGCTTGGTCTCGTCGTCCACAAACACCTCCATGGGATCTTGCATGAACTTCCTGCAGACGAGCCGGATCTCCTTGCTCAGGGTGGCACTGAACATCATGCACTGCTTCTCGTGTGGCGTCAGGCGAAAGATCTCCTGTACATCCCGCCGCATGTCCAGCTGCTCCAGCATCTTGTCACACTCGTCCAGCACGAAGTGCTTCACGTTTCTCAGGTTGAGGCTCCTGTTCCGCACGAGTGCCAAGATGCGACCTGGAGTCCCCACCACGACGTGGGGACAGTTCTTCTTCAACACCTCTTCGTCCTTCTTGATGGAAAGACCCCCGAAGAACACGGACACCTTGACACTGGGCATGTACTTGGAGAAGCGCTCATACTCCTTGCTGATCTGAAAGGCCAGCTCCCGAGTGTGGCACATGACCAGGACGGTCACCTGTCCATTGACGGGCTCGATCTGCTGTAGGGTGGCCAGCACGAAGACTGCAGTCTTGCCCATTCCAGACTTGGCCTGGCACAGGACATCCATGCCCAGGATGGCTTGGGGAATACTCTGGTGCTGAACCTCAGAGGGATGCTCAAAGCCACAGTCCACTATGGCCCTCAGGAGCTCAGGCTTCAGCAGAAAGTCCCGGAAGCCAGAGCTGTGGATGGAAACATAGGACCCCTTGACATCTTTCTTGGGGGGTACTGGGGTACTCTCTGTAGGAGCCTGGGGCTCTTCATCTTCCTCATAATCCAGAAGCTCGTTTTCCACATCCTGTTCCGCCATAATACTAGTTCCCCGTTCGCCTCCGCACGCTCCGAGTAGACCCACCACGATGCCCGTCCTGCGCCCTGATACGAGCTAGAGCGCTTCCTGCCTCCTGCGTTGGACTGAGCACCAGATTCTCTCTTTATTGCCCTGTTACATCTGTATTTATACCAGTTGATTTTAATCCTACCAATTGTATTCCAAAGGTTAGGGCGTTTGTTAATCTAGTTCTGTTGATTTTAATCCTATCAATTCTATTCTAAAGGTTAGGGCGTTTGTTAATCTAGTTCTGTTGAGTTTAATCCTGTCTAGGTTAATCTCTGTGTTCCATTATAAGGGCTATTCCAAGGTCACTGCTCTACTGATAAGCTACAAGGAAGTGACTGAAGGAGATTATCCTACCCAGTAAAGGTTATGTCCTCCCTTCCCTGGGACTACCCTGTGTCGGTGGGTCTCCAGGGGTATAGGCTTTGGTGCTTTCCCTGGTGGGCAGACCCCTGGGGATGTGGGCCCAACAAGTCCCAAATTTATTGCCAACAGTCTTAGTCCAAGTTCTTCATAAGTAGTCCATGATATTTCTGTAACACTAGGGGGTTTCACTGATTTATTCTCTTCCTTAGTCCTGTTCATCCCTAACTTCAGGGAAAAAATCCTCACCTGGGGAAACAACCTTTCTCGGGGAGGTGATCTTGTTTAAAACACATAACGCTAAGAGGGGAAGCAAACATATATTTTTTAAAAATATATTTTATTGATTTTTTACAGAGAGGAAGGGAGAGAGATAGAGAGTTAGAAACATCGATGAGAGAGAAACATCTATCAGCTGCCTCCTGCACATCTTCTACTGGGGATGTGCCCGCAACCCAGGTACATGCCCTTAACCGGAATCGAACCTGGGACCTTTCAGTCTGCAGGCCAACGCTCTATCCACTGAGCCAAACCGGTTTCGGCGGGAGCAAACAAATTAAGAACAGTATTCCATATATGCCAGGTCCCTTGAAACATATGCTGTGCAGATGTTTCTTCCCTGCAGCAACTGTGTCAAGCAGCAAGGATGGACCAGCTTCCAACATCTTGGGAGATCAAGGAAGACTCTAAGAGAAAATGATGGCTGAGCTGAGACTTAAAGGAGAAAGCCAGGTAAGGAATGCTAGTGTAAAAAGAGGTGAAGGCAGGAGGGGGGGGGAGGGTGGTAACAAGGCTTGCTAGAGTTTCTATAGAGAGCAAGGCATGGCAGGTTGGCCAGAAATAAGAATATGGATCATGTAAGTTTCCTGAGAGAAAGTCTGAAGACTTTAAGTACATATATAAAGTTTAGGAAGGTCACTCTGGGTACAATGTGAAGAATGAGTTGGGATAAAATTGAACAGAAAGGCCACTGCAGAGAGGTGAGGCCGGAGGTATTGGCCTAGCTAGGACAGGAGTAGTGGAGATGGAGAGAAATGAAGAGTTTAGACATCTCTGAGAAGGAGACATTTACGGGACTTTCCCATGGCTGTCAATGGTGAGAGGGAGGGGCTGAGTATTTCTGGCTGAGGCCACTGGGTTGATGATGATACCATTTAGAGATTGAGAACAAAGAAACAAGTAAAATGAGGATTTAATTTGGGGTACATTGTTTTGAGATATATTGGAACTTGGGGATGTATATCTTGAAGGCAGTCAGGTATGCAGATTTGTAGTAAGAAAAGAGAACTAGAAATTTTTATTTAGGAGTCATTAGCATAGTCACTGAATCCATGGCAGTGAATGTGATCATCAAAGGAGAGTATAAAAAGTGAGATAGGAATAAACTAACTAGGACACAACTCTGAGGTACATGGGCATGTAAATGACAGGCAGAAGATGGGCATCCTGGAAGTTAAAACACTGTGCTATAAAGAAGCCAGAGGAAAACTAGCGAAGTGTGGTATCACAAATCAAGGGGCCGTAAACGCAGCAGGCCTTGATCACCAGTATCAAATGCTGCCAAGAGGTCAAGTAAGAAAGAGGGTCCACTGGATTGAACAAACAGGTTATTAGTGACTTTGTTTAGAATCTCAGTGGAGTGGCAGGGGCAGAACCCAGACGCATTGAATAAATAATCCATTGAATGAAGCTCTTGGGTGGCCAGGAGGCAACAGAATCCAGAGGACAGGCATGAGCAGATCAAATACAGAGAACATGCAGAAATCCGTGCCTCGGACAAGGTAGATACCTGATGCCCTGCAATGTCGGGCAGGGTGGGCATGGGGGCAGGCAGGCTGATGAAGATGGAGACAGGAGGTTGCTGGCGTTCCTCTCTGAAGGGTTCTTTCTGCTGAAAAGAAACGAGGGAGCAAATGAGGACTTCGGAAACATACCAAGATGCAAAACAAGCCGTTTCCTTAGATAAAATGTCCTTTATGAGAAAAAAGAAATCGGAAACATTTCAAGTATACAGAGCAGTATAGAAAATAATTACAATTTAACACCCCATGTATCCTCCACCTGGCTCTAAGGTTTTGCCACATTTTCTGCAGATTATTTTTGGGACAAAATAAAGCATTACAGATGCAAGGGAACCCTCCCTATTACATTCCCTTCCCTTCCTCTCTGTGAGTAAATCACTATTCTGAATTTGGTGTCCATCACTTCCTTATGTGATTTCTGGTTCTTAAACTTTTATTGTATACCATATACGTCTTTCTGCAACCCGATTCCTTCCCTCCCCTCTCAATATTATGTTAATGTATTCTGTTTAAATGAACACTAGTACCTTTGGCTCATTAGTGTACATTTAGTATTCCGTGTATGTCCATTTGTCCAACAAACGTAACTTATACATCTACTCTCCCACAATTGACATTTAAATTGTCTCACTAATATAAGCAATGCTGCTATGAACATCCTTAAGCCGGTTCATGAAAATATAAGTATAAGTGTATATATATATATTATAAGTTTATATTTATTTATTTCTATGTAAGTCCTAACATGCAGCTTAATAGGAAAGATAACCCATGTGCATGAATTATATAGGCCATTCGTCTTCAAGAAGGGCACAGAAGCCGATGGATGAGTGACGCTCACAGGAAAGCGTTTGGAGGCGGCTCCAAGGGCCACACACTGTCAGCCCTGGATGCCTGGTTCACGGTCACCCCGTGGCCTCACGTGCGCTCATTCATTCTCTCAACTCGAGTGCGCGTCCCCCGCGGCCGGACCCGGGCCCAGGGCGGGCCTAACGCGGAGGGTCCGCGGGGGCAGCCGCGCAGCCGACTGTGCCAGGCCCCCAAAGTGACAGCGCCCGGGGGGTGTGGGGGCGTCCAGGGCCTAATCTCACTTGCGACCCCGCGCAGGAGGCTGAGGCGGCGGGGGTGGACGGGGCACGGACGCTTGCCTCCAACTGTCTCTCCCCTCCACTCGCCACGCCGCCAGGTCAGTAGCTGGGAGCCCGGGCGCGGACCAGGCCCCCGCCCCGAGCACCGCTCCCCAGCCGGGCCTCCCCCGGTGGCGCCTCTCCCCCTTACGCCAACTCCGTAAGGAGGCGCCGAGGCCAACCGGGCGGCGCCCGCCTCTCCAAGCTCTGACGTCAGATCGCGCGGGGCGGCCCTCGCGGCGGCCATGTTTAGTGAGGGCAACCCCACCCTCGCGCCCCACCGGCCTTCCCCTCACACCTTCCTCAGGCTCTTCACGGACGAACGGGAGGGTTCAACCTTAGAGGCAGTGTTGAAGAAGCCTGCTGACGCCTGGCTGCCCGTGGCCTCGGCGGTGCCCAACCCCGCCAACTTAAACATGGCGGCCGCCCCCGAGCGGCAAACGAGCGCGAACGCCAATGAAGTCATGCCCACCATGGAGCAGGGCGGCGAGGCCGGGAAGGGGAAATCTCGCGAGATCTCAGCGGCCGCCGCGCGGCCCGGAAGCCTCTAGGAGGGGGCGGGGGCGGGGACGGGGGCGGGAGGCGGGCGCGAGCCGGAGGAGGAGTCCGGGCGCTGCGAGCTGCGCAAGCCGGGCAGCGACGCCGGGCGGCTGCGCCGCGGAACTGGCGTAGGCGGCCTTGGAGAATCGCGGGCTGCGCCGCTCCCCGGCTGGTCGCGGAGGGGGAGGGGATGTCGGTCAGTGCGAGATCCGCTGCTGCTGAGGAGAGGAGCGTCAACAGCAGCACCATGGGT